GAGAGAGAGAGAGAGAGAGAGAGAGAGAGAGAGAGAGAGAGAGAGAGAGAGAGAAAGAGAGAGAGAGAGAGAGACTGTTAATATTTCCTGAGCCGCAGAGAGTTGTACACATATCACTATCTTCCCTGAGGCACGATATACGAGTCTACTTCCTGGATTAACAAAAAGGCATTAGCCTGCTGAGCTACAGGGCTTATTAATCTTTTGAGAATACTTGTGTCCTTCTTTCTTGAAAGAATAAACAACTACCATTGCAGTAGCTGCAAAACACCACTTTATCTTCTGGTCAGGAAATGCTCACAGTTGTAGTAAATGTATTCCCACTACATGAGCGATAACTGAATAATTACTGTGGTCGAAATACTATTTGCCATCTACGCTCTTGCTGGGCACTCAGTTGATACATTAGAAATATGGTGTGTAACGAATGTTAGATTATGCTCTAGTGAATTACAATTAGACAGACACAGACTACATGGCAGCCAAGAGCCCGTCTGATGGAGAGGCACTTGTGTACAGACTGAACTGAAACACGCTGCAGGCCATTTCTTGCAGGTGTGACCCAGAAAGTGAGTTGGATGAGCATCAGAAGGCCCTTAGGGAATTAACTCAGTGCACCAAATCATGATGAAAATGTGTCATTAACATTTGGCTTGAATCATCGAGTGTTGTGGGGAGAACTCTCAGTAAAATAAAACTTAGAATTAAAGCTTTTGAATAAGTGTCCTCCTGTAGAAAAGTTGGTTATGTTGTGGGTATACAAAATCAACGTTTTTGAGCTTTACATCATGTCATAATGTAATTCCCACATCCAAAACATACCCAGGGTGTTGCTTTGACTCATGCACACATGTTTGAGAAAACCATGAATCTCCTGTGGTAGCCATGTTGAGCTGCCTAAATGCTAGTTGGTACAAAGCACCGCCTATTTGTACAAAGATCCTCCCTGAAGCTCAGTCTGCAGCTGGACTCCAGCCCCACAGAGTGCTCCTCCCCCAAAGACATGCTGAAGTAAGAGTGTCTAAAACAGTAAGGGGTTCTTAAAGAGACAGAGGCCAATTTTTTAAGGAATTTAGATGGCTATGATGGAAAGTCAAATTTATTTTTGATATATACAACAATTTCATAACTGAGGGTATCTATGGGATAAATATTGTGCCAGCAGGAATTGAATTTGAATTGCTCAGATTGAATCTGAATGTGCATAATCTGAAATTGAATGCATTGGTTTGAAAATAAATTTCACTAATTTGGAACTGAATTTAAAGTTTTGAATTTGAATTAATTTGCTTTGAAACTGTATTTTGGTTTATTTAAAATTCAGTTTGACTACTTTCACTTTCAGTTCCATAATTCAAAATTTTGTGTCATAGGTATCATAGTTGCTTGACTGTGGTATACACTTGAACTATGTGCCAGAAAAAAAAAAAAACATGTTCAAGATAGACTGGTTTTCTAAATACACTTTTATTTATCAACATAAAAAAAGCAAAAATGTGTCAAGTAAATACGCTACAGTTGTCACATAAGACCACAATAAATTGGTGTAAAAATAATTTCTGAACATCCTTTTCAGGTTAGTTCTCCTTTCCAATGTAATGCTATTATTTATACTCCAATTAAATACAACCGCTTGGTTAGGATATCTGTTTTCCCAAGTGCTCCAATGATCTATACAGCTGTAGAGGAGGAGAAGTTAATGAGACCTATACTAAAAGGAGTGGGCCTCCAGTCAGTTCATGTTTCTGGTGTGCACATGTCTCCTGGTGCTTCCTTTTTCCTCTGACCTTTTAAGTCCCACCTGCTCCATCACGCTGAATAAAGAGTGGGGTGGGGGTATTGGCTTTTCCCATATAGCCCCAAGAACCACTCAAGCCATGGTAAAGATTCAAAAGTCTTGTTCAATAAGTCCATAAAAGAATGTAACACAAGATAAACTGGAAGAATGTAAGCCATCAAATTTCAATGTAGATGATAAACTTAACTGATGTAACAAACGCATGGAGACAAAAAAAGCAAGCTTGGGTGGAGTAGGGAATGTAGAGGGTGGAGAGGGAAGATACATGATGAACATTGGAACTGCCGACATGATAAATGAGTTTACAAAAATCTGAGGTGCAAATTAACACCCCACCACCACCACCCCCCACTGCAGCCTCTGTGCCCACTTCACTCCTTTTTTTCTTCCCCTTTCCCTTGTCCCCTTCCGCTCCCCTCTCCCATCTCTGCTCTGTAATGACCATTCATCAGCATTACAGGAACCTGTCCCTTTCAGCACTGCCTGTTCATTAATACAGCCAGCCCTAGGCTCCTCTGCACCCGTCTGTTCTGGTCTAGGAGGGGGTCCTCACCGCCCTTCGTCTAGCCAAATGACCACCATCTTTCACGCCGGAGAGGGGCCTGAGGCATCTTCGATAATGCCCATCTAGAATCTGTCCGAAAATTCATCGCCTCTTATAATAATGAACTCCCCCCCCTCCCTCCCGTTCTCAGTAGATATTCAGTGTCACCATTATGTCAAAAACAAATAAAACTATTACAGGTGCATTGATTAGATAGCACAAATGTGACTCTGACATGGTTTTATCTTGTCTTTCCAAAGTTTTGCATGCATATACTGTTTACACCTGTGTGCCTACAGTGTTTTTAATTTGATACTTTTGTGACAACATATTGATTTGCTAGCTCTTGTTTTACTGTCGAGAGCTTAAGGCTACATGTCACATTTCTGCTTGTGTAGGTCTACAACATTTGAGTACTGTGGGTATCGACATTTTTTTCTGTGTTCTTTAGCATCTTCATCATTTTCCATCATGAAAGCTTATATAACACTTGTATTTAGAAAGCGAGAACAGTATTCAAAATGGAGAGGACGTATCCTTGTTGCATCACTAAGTTTGTATGTTCTTACTTTATTCATAGGCCTTTTACATTATTTAAACCAAATGGATCTTTGTGACATCTCCCTGACCTGGGAAGAAAGAAGGCATAATCACTCATCACTTGTACGTTAATGGAATTCTCAGTTTCTTTGCATTTATTTTGTTTAATAATTTGTGCATTGAATTAGACAAAGCCATTGCAGAGTATATTTAGTCCATGCATTAAGAGCCAAAGCGCCAATGTTTGTTGGCAGACGGATTTTTATTATATTTTTGTTTCTTATGAGATAATATAAAAGCAAGCAGGCTAAATATGCAGGATCAGTCTGAGGTCAAACTTGGGTTCAGCTTCTTGAAAACAAGCTTTGCTCATTTGGAGCTGGTTTGTATCAATAAAGCTAACTTAACCCTCTGAGGTCGACACCCGCTCTGGAGCGGGCTAAGCTGTGACACATTTAAAGGTCTCCTGTTATAAATATGACACCATGCTGAGCATTCATTTCAACTGGGTTTGATAGTACAGACTTCAAACTCAATATAAATAGTTTTTTTATTGATATTGTTTTTATTTACTTCCAAGTGTCCATGAGTGTTGTTCATGTTTCCCTGCTGCATAGACTTTGTGTAAGGTGAGGTGACAGACCAGAAGAGAATGTGGTAAATTAAAATTGACAAATTACAATGAAGCATTTTGGTTAGAAACAGTATTAGGTTTTATGAAGTTAGCATCCTCTCAGTTACTTTTACACACACCACCAGATTTCTATTTATCCCTGCCATTCAATCGGAAAACGAACTGTTTTTGCAGAAGAAACACCTGAAAAACACTGAACGGCTTTTTTACACAACACTCATTTGTGAGCCCAACCAAAAGTACTTACTGGCATCACTCTAATGGCTCTGCTTTTATCAGATGTGTGGGAGATTACCCACCTCCCCCCCCCGGCCCGATTGTCAAATGTGGCCATTGTGTGTGCCGTTATAGCTGCTCTCTTTTATAGGCAAGTAAGTAGCGAAGAGTCAGAGGAGACATGGATTCACAGAGCACTCATGTTGTTTTAATGACCAGTCATAGCTAGCTAAACTGGTGAAGAGAGGGTGAAGGAAAAGAAGCGACAGAGAGCTGAATGAAAGAAAGATCCGAGTTGATATATTCAGGCTTGTGTTACCCTTCCCACAGCCTCAGTTCACTGCCATCGAGCCACTCTGCCCTCATAAAGACCATTCATCACAATGATCTCCTGCCATTGCCCCCGAAGACTAAAATAACATAGAGCAGCTCCGATTGCCAATGTCTAGCTTTGAAGGAGTGTAGCATCCAACATTGAGCTGATGACTAGCAGGACACTAATCACAGCTGGGAGGACTGACCACTCAGAACATCAGAAACACCCACCAAAAACAGGCTAAATGGGCTGGACTAATGAATCATTTGAATATGGAATGTTGGTAGCAGGACATACTGCATGTGAGTTGTCAGATCAATTGGAGGAATAAGTCAATTTTTGGTTAAAATGACCCATGCACACTTTCAGATTTGTGATTTCTCAAGCTACATTTTGATAACTGGATCATCCTGAGATTAAGAGTGGTTCCAGAGTTATGACTTGACTAATTCTCTTAAACAGGATAGCCCTAATTTTTAAGTTATTCTAATTAGGATATCGGAAATCATTTAATAAAAAGAAAACATTAAATAGTATTTGGATATTGATATTTCCCAGTTGAAAAAAAAGTTTTTTTTTTCTTTTTTAAGCTACAGCACAAAAAGAGCTTTAAAATTATTTAAGACTGTATTTCAGCCATTTCATTCAAATGATTCGGTATTTATTCATTATAATTTGACAAAATGCAGTCGTAGCAAACATTTTAACACCTTCCTAATAGCTGCCTGTTTCTCCACATACCGCTTTGAGACCTAATCCTCGGTTTGGTGATGGGTCTCATATGATTCCTTTAAGAAAT